TTATGAGTCAGTGACAAGAACGAAACACTACAAAAACAAACATAATAAGTAAACAGCACAGGTGTGATGACGAGTGTGCCAATTGTGTAGGGAATAATAAAGGCCAGAATTAATGCTTCATGATAAGAAGTCGGTCAAAGACTTGAAAAAAATAGACATTGCAATAACATTCATTTGAAATTATTAGAACTACTTCGCCTTTCCGTAGGCAGCGACACTAAATGCAAGAAAGCAATAGGCAGGAGGAAGGTATATTTGTTGTGAGAAGTTACTAAGTATTTACATAATACATATACATTTACATCTTTCGGTGTGTTCTGTCATTTGAACTTTAGTGGTTCGATATCTGACTCCAGTTATATCGTATGATGATTGCTATCGAGACATACATCCCGGCTACCTTTGTACATAATCACCGACCTAAATCGCGTTAGTGGATATCGGAATTAAATAAAACAAACACGAGAATGGATTTCGAATACGTATATTTCGTACAATCGTTGGTCCAGACAGATGATCAGAGAAACGAAACGAACAAAGAGAACAGAGAAGGACGCGAAATGACGCACAGTGAAGAAGACGATTGAGTAAACTCGTTTTGACGAAGCGTGATTCGATATATGTTATCAGACAAAAATAATTTAGACACGTGATGAATAGGGTAAGCAATTAGCACACATACGACCATATAAGTAGTCATGGTTAATAAGCGAATAATTGACAAAGTCAAAATGTGGCTTGAAATGAATGAGTAAATTGGTCTGTCGAGAAGCTAGAATAGTCTAAATGACTTGATATAGTACCAGCCACTATGTAACTTTCTTCTCGTTTAGGCTCCCAGTGCTCTGCCAATGCCACGCTTTCGATGTACTGAAAATCTTCACTCTGTCCTATAATTGTTACGAGTTCGAAGCTACATCCCGTTACATATTATTCACAAACAAGCCTGTGTGTGGCATTCACCACAATTTCGTATTTATGTATTTGAACACAAACATTGGTACAAGATGGCACCAAATACATATGCGTCACACAATAAAAATGAAGTTGGGAAGAAATGGAATGTAAAGTGCGTATGATAATAAAAAACAACAACGAACAAAAATTAGCGTATGAAAGTGAAACAATAATAATAATAGTAATAGTAATAGTAATAATAATAATAATAATAATAATAATAATAATAATAATGGGAGAAACAATTCAGCTAGCAAAAATATAACCAGGAAGAATTCTTTCAATTAAAGAAGTTACGTTCATTTTAATGAAGAAAGTAAAAGTTACAGCGAGATAATCACCGGCTTCTATTCTGAGTCACATCTGATACCACCTCAAGCCACTGTGTTACACCACCTCTAGAAGTTCAACCCCGGAGTCGCGAAGGACCAACAGAAACCAGCCCTCTGCAGCTTTCTTTTATACCACAACCAGTCCCAGCATCGGCAAATAATGCATAACATGGATTTTCTGGGACGGCATTCGTAGAACATGTCCAAGCCACCGAAGTCAATGTTTCAAGATGGTGACACCAATTGGATTATCGTCTCTGTGCCCGAACATACGATGCCAAACCTCTGCATTAATAACATGGTGTTGCCACTGGATGTCAGCAATCCTTCGGAGACATGATGATCAAACACAGAGAGTCGTCTAACATCCTCAACTCGGAGAGGCCAGGCTCCACAAGCATAGAGCAGAACTGTTCTCACTGACGCGTTATAGATCCGACCTTTCACAGCCAGACTGACATCAAGAAGGCACCAAAGATGGCCTAGATCGACATAAGCCGCTCTAGCTTTCACTATACGTGCATTGATCTCATCACTCATGCCAATACCAGCACTTATGTAGCTACCTAGATACACGAACTTCTCGACTACTTCTATCTGCTCACCATCCAGGGTGAGTACAGGATTAGAATCCTGCCAGTCTTGTAGAAGCACATTGCACTTCGAAGGTGCAAAGCACATACCGTACCTACGGACACTGATTGCCAACTAAGTGCGGATTGAATGGCTTGGGCATTATCGCACAGTAAGACAATATCATCCGCATACTCAAGGCAACAGATCCACATTACATTCATCAGAGCTGTTTTCAGGACATCATCGACAGCAAAGTTGAAGAGGAATCGTGAGATTGGGCAACCCTGTCTAACCACACTGTTTGAATGGAACAATGGAGGTGTTTGTATGCCCTCACTCTACCTGAGTTGCTTGCATATAGGACTTTCAAGATGTTAACAAACTTCTCAAATACGTCACTTTTTAATAGACAATCCCAAAGAACAGTCCTGTTCAACGAATCGAAGGCGGCCTTAATGTCAAAAAACACTACGATTGTTGACCCGTAATAAGTATAATGGTCTTCTAACATTTGGCGGAGGATGTTGCCGGGACAGCAGACCAGTCGAAGTGCTCCTCGAAAAAGTTGAAGTCCTACTCATTGCCTTCTCGTGGCGGGGGTGTTGGTTACGAAAATGAGAGGACGAAAAGCGAATGTCCGCCGCTTTAACCGGTTTCCAAACCAATGGTGCACATGGGCTCCAGTATCCTGCGGGAACAAATGGCGTATGAACCAATTTTCGGTCACCGGCTACCATGGGACGGCATCTCTTCACGATGCTCCACTGCCTTGTGGATCAGACCTTCAGGTCGAAGGCTCGGGGTGTGGGCCCCTAAGATAACCACCTGCTTCGGTCTGGGCATCTGAGCAGTATCACAGCCCGCACACAAATATGATGAACTGTCGATAATTATGGAAAATACTTTTCTTGCTACAACTATTAATCAAACGATTCACATTATTATTATTACTATTGTTATTATTTACTACGTCATTTATTCACTCTCTTTTATTCCTACTCTGTCTATCCTTATTTTTCGACTTATACAGCAGCTCGTCTATGGTGGAAATTCGGTTCTATCTAAACGTTCTCGAGTAGAGACGTTATCAGATATGGCTCAGAATAGAAGCCAGTGGCGATCCTGCTGTAGCCTTTTACTTTCTTCATAAAAGTGGTTGCTTCTTCCTTAATTGAAAGATCTCTTCTGAGTGTACGTTTCTGTTTCCCACATTATTATTATTACACCACCTTACACTAATCTATTCGTTATCGTTTTTTTACGCTCCTTACCTTTTTTTTCCTTTTCTGCAAATTCTCATTGTTTTGTGTGGCGCATATATATTTGGTGCCCTCCTGTACCAATATTTATGTGTTTAAATAAATAAATAAATAAACAGTTGCAGTAGACGGTTCCCGTTATCTAACCTGGGAACGACAAATCCCCATCGGCCACCTAAACGACTTTCTTCTGTTCCTAGACGCCCGACCTGAGAGTTTAAGCCTCCGGCTAGTATTAAAATCTGTCGAATGCACTTCCTGTAGAAGAGCAGTTAATTGGTGGTAAAAATCATCCTCGATCGCATTCTGGATGCAATCTGTCGGAGCATAGGCAGAGATGACGAAAAGACACCATTTCTCACACCGATTTATTCGCACTTTGATAGAACTTTCTAATCTAACAGCACACTACCTACTGTTAATGGGGATAGTAAGACTGAATGAGAGTTGAAGCGAGTTATTTTATTTTTTTCTTCTTATTTGAAAACATAAACATTGGTACAAAGAAGCTCCATGTAGATATGTGCCACACGTCGTCATTTGATTTGTGTGAGGGCTGGGATAATGCCCGTGCGCTCAAACTGAAACAAGTGGCTTTCTCAGGGTCCATCCTGGAGCCTTTGACCTAAAGGTCTGATCCACAAGACAGGAGATGCAGCCCCATGGTAGCCGGTGGCTAAAGCTCCGGGCATTCGCTGTTCGTCCTCCCAATTTCGTAAACAACAGCCCACCGCGAAAAGGCAGTGAGTAGGACTTCCCTGGCAGTGGTTGTATGCACGTGGCCATGTGAGAGCATTTCGCAAAGGAGACAGACTCTCCCCACCCTCGACTGTACCAAGGCATTTGGGGTAAGAGAAATTTTCCAGTCGTAGTTATCATTGATTTGAATGATTGTGATACTGCCCGGGTGTAATTAACTGCCAGGTTCGTGCCAAAAGAGGATAATTCCTAAACTTGTTTTCGACAAGTAAGGTACAAATTTCGCTGTAAAAAACTGGGCACGTTTAAACAAAGCTGCATTTTACACACTTTGAAAACTAGAAAATGAACTGAATTCCATAAAAGAGATAAAATTAAGCTAAGTTCATGACTTTGATCCTAATCAACCCTTGAACCTTACCATCTGCTAGTGTGTGACTTTATGCATTTTTAGCTGGAAACACACTGAGCATAGGCTACCTTTCATACCGTTCAACCTCATGTCTTCTAATTATCATCACGTTTTTCATGGTTACTTCAAAATAATATCATTAACTTATTTGATATGACATTTACCGGTGACTTATTGTACGAAACATTATATCGTGGATGGATATATATGAATAGATGTAAAGAGATTTTTCAGTTTTTTTGCCCTGTGATAAAAACCTACCAATATTTTACATCAAAGTCTCTGAACCGTAAATTGTAAGTCACAAGAGTTTGGTATTATATAGCTATTTATAATTCAATTAGAATATAGACGACAAGGAAAAGCAATGGCCATATGGTATAAATTGGCAAAGGGTATGTCCTGATATCTTATATTTTGACAAAAAAAGCTGAACGCATGGCTAAATCAGCCTCCCAATTCTAAAGAAAACTTTTGTGCCAAAAGGACGCAGTCGAGAACTAGAAATTCGGGAATTTATAATTCGCATAGGTGGTGAAAAAACAGGGAACATCATTGTTTAATACTGAATCATCTAATCGAATATTCGTGAACATACAAAAACATGGTTTGACAGATCTACAGAATTTTGGATGTGTTCAGTTAAAACGCGGCAAGGTAAACATACTTATATTCAACATGTACCACTTTTTAACATATACTTTAAGATATCTATTGTTTAGGCTAAGCATGTGTTGTGAGAAAAAATTAAGAAATTTCGTAGGATCAGTCTTTATTAGCTTTAAGTTGTGCAATTAGGCCTGCCCTTTGGGTTTCTGTAACATATTCAGTTAGATCTGGAGACATGAAATCAACAGCTTTCGGAATCCGGAGATAATTCAACACCTTTCCTTTACTCGTATGTAAATCACCTGGATTTTTCGGTTTCCTGAAATCGTAACACTATGGCAGTAAAATAGTATCATACTTTGCTGAATCTTTCTGAGCTAGAGATGCATAACTCGGTGGTCCTGTAGTATTTTTGGACAAATTTTCGTAACTAGTGATTATCCGTTGTCATTAAAGTTAATCAAACATACTCAATCTCCACATCTTTACATTCGATCTAAAATGGTTACACACTATTTGATAACTTACGGATTCATCGCTAGAAACTTCTTCATCCATTAGATACGGCATAGTCTAAAATGTTAAGTACCTAATTTAAAAAGGAAATGTCATAAAAATCAGATTACGTAACTCAGGGATAAATTCCTTACTTTAGAGAGACGAAATAAAGTAATCTTAGCGAACATCAGATAAGGTTTTTATTGTTTATTTATTTTAACACAAAGATATTGGTACAAGGAAACACCAAATACATGTGAGCCACACAAATCTTATTTGATATGTGTGAGGGCTGTGATGCTGCCTAGGTGCCCAAACCGAAGCAGACGGTTTTCTTAGGGGGCCACACCCGGAGCCTTCGACCTGAAAGTCTGATCCACAAGGCAGTGGAGCATCCCATGGTAGCCGGTGACCAACGGTTGGTTCATACTCCATTTGTTCCTTCAGGATACTGGAGCCCATGTGCACCATTGGTTTGGAATCACGGTTTTCCAACTCCCCTAGATAAACTAACCGTGTCCACCGGCCCGGTTAAAGCGCTGGACATTCTCTTTTCGTCCTCTCATTTTCGTAAGCAACACCCCCGCCACGAGAAGACAGTGAGTAGGACTTCTCTGGCAGAGGCTATATACGCGTGGCCATGTGAGAGCATTTTGAGAGGGAGAGCGGACTCTCCCCACTCTCAGCCGTACCAGGGTATTTGGGGGCAGATAAGGCACAAAATGTGTATGATATAAAAGATTTTTTACACCTACATTCGGTTAACGTCGAGCAAAGCAAAAATTTTGGTCGATCTAAAACGCTATGTTCACATCAGCACCAAAAACGGGAATTAACGAAATGAAAATCAAATGAGTCGTAATATCCATGGAAGGAAAAATATGTACTACATACGGGAGATATACTTTGATAAAGAAAAAGATGAATTAGAATCTTAAAATAATGGCAATAATTCAATTTACTACACTCATAACCAATCCGAAATCAGTGTTATTTCATCATTATTCTGTTGGCTATTTCATAGATTTTCAGGTAAACTTAGGTTTTCAGCAGGACCAATGTTAGACAAGAAACGTCAATACAAATGCTAGGAAGGGATTGGGAATAGGTGTTAGGGTTAGGTGTTTCCATGACGATCTGAGATGGACTATACTGAAGAATACTAGAATCATGGTACAATCTTAATCCCTGACAAATCACGTCACTAGTCTGACTTTGACGTCTCATGATATTCCGGAACAACCAACATCTGGAATTCTGAGTGTATACTTCATATTAACCAAATATCACTGGAAACTCAGTTAATTAGCTTTTAGCTTCACTGACGAGTTAATTGCGGAGCGAGACTATACCAAATTAAAAACTCACCAAGCTACAGTCAAATTTCATTACAACCCCAAATCTAGTTGGACTACGGAAAATGAAGGAGCAAAAAATACACGTAACAGCTTGCGTCTAGATAGAAGGTACTTTGTGTACTATAGAAACGTGCACAATAGCATGACGATTGGAAAAAACTCAAAAGACGAGACGACCAAACATGAGGCGCAGGAAGTGTACTTACATTTACCAAAGGAAGATAAAGACAACACTCAGCACAAAAGCAATACCAAAATCGAGGCAACCACACCGCTTTCCATGACCTTGAGCGACTTAATGATAAATGGTTCACATGGTTCAAGTGATTGTGAACGGAATAGAAGAAGCTTATGCTTTACGGGCTTCTGTGTGTAACAGCTGTGGATCACAAGTACCTCCAGGCAGTAACCTAGGTATATTAACGATAATAGAGAAAAAAGAAACGGGAAAATCATAGTGTAGCGTTAAGTAAATCACAAAATAAATAGCTCTGTAAGTTTTCGACAATGGGTGCTGACCACGTTAGTTTTATTGGGCTCACCTAGCTGAAGGCGCTCGGTCATGCATCCGTACAAGATCACGAGTGGGAACACCGTGCTCAACATCCCCTGCAACCGCTAGCTAGATTAGATCAGTCGATCCTCGATACGTTGATAGCCTATCAAATATATATTCGAGCCTCCTTGCTTCTGTCTTTCGATTTCACTTGGTGGGCACGATTTATAAAAAAAGGTTTTGCCAGTCAAAGCGTTGCCAAACTCCGAATACCTGTGGCATCTTAAGTAGTAAGAAACTATCCTTATCCCTTAAGATTATGTCAGGTTTTCTCTTGAAGGACTCCTGAGAAGTCGCTTGAACTAGCTCAGCCGGCAGCGAATTCTGACACTTGATAACTCTTAAGGAGTAAGAGGTATTCCTACAATCCGTTCTGATGTCTCGTATCTCCAGTTTCTGTGTGTTACCCCTCAAGTTTGTGTTGGAGATAAACTTAATTAGATTTCAATAATGTAATTAGAAGACGAAGATTATCAGAACTATGTGATATATTAGCGCAATACATTTCGAACAATCTGGTCACACAAATGGTCATACAAATGTACTTTTGAAAAAAAACCATTGATATATTATGTGATTACATATCTGTAAACAATCTTCAATCACGTGTACCTGTAAAACTTCCTGAAGATTTACTCTTACTATGTACTAACAAAGTTCAGTTCACTTTTGAAGGTGATTACTTTCGTCAGATTGATGGAGTTGCTATGGGTAGTCCACTAGGACCATTATTAGCAGATGTGTTCATGGTACATGTTGAAAATCAGACTGATGACTTAATCGGAAACATTTCACTTTATAAGAGATATGTGGACGATATCTTAGTTGTTTGTGAGAGAAAAGAGGATATGTGTAGAATTATGGTCTACTATGATATTAGTACTGCTCTAATAATAGACCTAATCCTAAAATTGTAGATTTGTCATGATATAACTGCCTAATCTATAAGATCTTACGTGGAAGTCACACCATCGACTACACCAACTCACTGTATGGTATCAATTACCAATACATGATGTAGAACACGGTTAGGCTAGAGAAAGAACAATATATTTAATATGAATAGGAGATATAAGATAACATCCAGCAGGGACCACGCCTGCATGGCCGAGCCATGCCACTCGATCAACTCAGTCCATTCAATTCATTCTCTGCGCCTTCTCCATTGTTAGGTATTTCCCCGAGTTAAATATTGAATATCTATTTTCTGAGTAGTCTCGTGTTCACAGCTTTGTGGATTGTGTGGCTATTGTCCAATGCCACTACATATGTACTGTTTATTAAATAAACTTAACACTCTCCAAAACCATATTAGTCTCTCATGTGAAGAGAAGAAGAACGATCAGCTTCCCTTCCTAGATATACTTCTGAGTAGACGAGAAGATGGCTCAGTCAAGCGATTTATTTTTAGGAAACCGACGTGGACAGGTCAATACCTTAGTTATTATAGTTATTGCCCTGCGCAATACAAACGTGGTTTGATAAGATGTCTTTTCAACAGACTCGACCGTATTTGTACAAACGACGCAATTGATGATGATGTTAATTTGTTAAATAAAGCGTTAATAGAAAATGGCTATCCTCTGAAGTTCATAAGTAGATGGAAAGTCCATGGTACAGCGAGAAAAAGCCTGTCTACAACACTTTACCGTCCAGAGGTGATTCAAATAGCCTTTGATTGAAACAGTGACTTAAACCAGTCATCAATAAAACCTATTGTGCAGCAAAGGTCATCATCAAAGAAAGAACAAGGTGCATACTTCATTCAAAGCCTAAAAGACATGGAAACGATTGCGTCACATCCCACTGTGTTTACCGATTTAAATGTGTGTGTGGTCACACATACATAGGGAGGAGCAATCGTGATCTCAACATTAGGATGTGAACATGTACCCAAATGGCTACAGAAACAAATACAACCAAGTGACCCAATAAGAGCAGAGGATAAACATCTATCATCCTCTATTGCTAAACACATAATTGAAACAGGTCACAAGATTGATCTGAACTCAGCTTTTGTGGTATTGTATAAAAGTATAAGAGGGCGTATACTAAGGTTTATTGAAGCCTTAGCTATACGAAAATTCAAACCCCCTTTGTGTGTTCAAAAACAGTTCGTTCTTACCTTAAACCTACCCTGGTAATATTGACTTATTATCCAGAGTGATTAGGTTTCGAATTGTGTTCACATTATTACTATTACTCTCATCATTATCCTTATCTCCTCTTACCCCGTTTCCAGTCTAGTTGAACTTTTATTTTTATATATAAATGCTCTTAACAAGTATATGTGTGACCAGATTTTTCGAAATGTATTGCGCTGATATATCACATAGTTCTGATAATCTTCGTCTTCTAATTACATTGTAGAAATTTATCAAAGGGACTTATTGTTTTAATTAGATTTATAAGGGGATGTCCAGAAGTGTTAATGATGTTGTAAGTTCACTTCTAAGACACCTATACTCTTACGGATAAAGGTTCAGTGATTGGAGGCGCTCTTAATGTGACTCGAACTTGAACCCCCGAACTGATTTCGTGACTCGCCGTTGGATACGTTACAGTGTCCTTATTTATCTGAAGTGTGGGAGGAAATAGTATGTTCCAGTATTCTAAATAGGGACGAAAGAAACTGTTGAGGATTATGTAGGAAGTTCTTCCGTCAAACTGGCTAAAACTGCGCATCTATGTAGTCAGTGCAAGGTTTGCTCAAAAGGCATTTTTGTAATAGTTAGCGTAAGACTAGAAATCGTAAGGTACCAGCAATCCTAAGTCTTTTTCAACATGGGATACTTCTAAAGGGCAGTCGCCTAAGTTATACCTGTAGTCTGCAACATGTCTCAGATGGACTGCTTTACACTTTGAAGTGCCAAAGGTAAGTCTGTTATCATCTGCTCAAACATGAAGTAGAGTTAGATACTCCTGATATGCCAGCATATCCTCTTTGTTGCGTGTCTCTCTCTCCAAAGTTTCACGTAATCAACAAAATGTAATACGTCTGACGATACCTGTTGTGGAAGATCGTTTGTATAAATCAAGAAAAGAAGAAGTCCCAGTACTGGACCATGAGGGTCCCACTAGGGTGTTCCATAACCCCGACCTTAAATGTCTGTCTTTTTAGATATGAAGTTAGCCAATCAATCAAAGATAATTAGATACCTAATCTTTTGAGCTCATTGATAAGACCGCTTTGAAAATAGACGGAAGTTCTAAGTATTAGGTTAGCATTCTATCCTTTTCATATAGCACTGAGTATACATCCAAAGTATCTACGAGTTCCTTTAATCAGATTTGCACGGCTCACCAGTAAGAATTGTACTAATAAGTAGTTTGCAGTATTAACGGTTTTATCTTGTAACGACTGACAAGATATATTGTGAAAAAGTAGTATCTGTATGGCACTTTTGTACTAAGTCGTGTGCTCATAAGCACTCAGAGCAATACCACATTATTATTTGCTTCACGAAGACCATGAGGAATTGTTCGTCTTTTAAGAAAGACTGGACCACCCTCTACTTAGAGTTTTATAGGGTGAATTTTCATACCTCCACTGCACTCAGCACACGCAGCTAACAAATATTTAAGTAAAACATGTGAATTTTCTTCCACTCACAAAACGTGCCTGAAGAATTATCATCTCTAATTAAAAATTGACAGAGTCCTCGTATAGGAAGTTTGTGTCCAGTAATCCTCATAACTGAAAATGTGAACCACCACTAACCAAACGCAAGCTTGAGCGACATTAGTAATATAGTTCATCACGACGGCTAAACAAAACATTAGCAATTTTCACTAACTGGGAATCAGGCTTGTCCAATGCCTCGTAGTTGACACATGCTTCTCTTCCTATAATGTACCTATAGGTCTCTCTAAATTTGCAATATTTATCTTAGTAACTAAGCGATCACGAAGCTGAATTTCCGAATCGTCTTGAAAATCGCTTTTCACGTTTCAGTAGTTCAAGTATGATGTCTTTAACTTTCTGATAATTTTGTTGCATGATGACTAAAAAGTAATTTCTTGTGAGATTCACTTAGCAATAAAATAGGGTTTTTCTGGAAAAGCCAGACTTGTTTTCAAATAGTTTAAACAGCAACGATTAAGGTAAACAGCACTGTTGGCGGTCCAATTACTATAACCTTCAGTGTTACATACAGGTTTTTTCAAAACATTCAATGCCCCAAATAAGGAATAATAGATCGGAAAAAACATCCGTTTGGTTACAGATGTACTGAAAACTATCCCCATAGAAGTCAGACAAATGGAGCAAAGAGGAAATAAGGCGACGAAAGAGTAAACAAAGAGGCAATGTCGATTTTTCTTCACCAGACTTCGAAAGTAGCCGCACCATGTTGGCATCGAAGTTTGAAATACCCCGACGATATGCTCTGCAGTACAGCATACAGTATCAAATCTCAAAAACTTAGCTCAGTTGGACACACCAACGCGCTGCATACACGCCTAGATCCGGACTTTGATGGCGACATATCCCATTGTGTTGGACTAGTTAGATAACATCTGAAAAGTAAACGCCTACTTGGTAATCGGCGAGATGACACTGTCGATCAATCGAAATGTAAGATATTAGACGTGGCTGTTTCCAGCCTGTATCTCGACCACATTCATGCCAACAAAATCGTAAGGAAATCTTTCTTTTTATTTCAATGAAGCTCTACAAAATGTTAGTAGGATTATTGTACTGACCTCTTCGAGTTTTCAGTGTTTAGTGGCAAGGTGTTTACATCAGTCAGAATGCTAACTTGAAGTCTATCACAGAAATACATTTTTCCCCATGACATTGAGCTGCTTTCCTAGCAGCACCATTGCCGCTACACTGATTTCCTAATTTGTCTCACATAAGACTCGAATGGGAATGCTGAGAAACTATCTTAAGGTCAATGTACACGAAAATCGTCAGGAAAGCGCTGCAACAAATGCATATTATGCTAAGTTTTCAGACCCATAACACCATTAATATTCCTTAAGAAAATTCCGTGAATCCATTCTGACGGATTTTGCAGAGCTATTATGTAATTTTGGATGTGCTGGCAAATGAATCGATAACACTAAACGCCTGAGATTAAAATAAAAACGTTGAGGTAAAGTTTGTTGCAGAATTATGGGGCCTAAATATTGAAAACAACTGTCGACACTCCTTAGTTTTCCATATTGATAGGAAGTCTAATGTACGGTATTTACACAGAAAGTCGGAGGGAGTACTTGCCACGCAACTAGATGTTAACTTATTTATATCTTCAATTGCACGTAACATTGTCATCCAAGAACTTTTCATTGTTGTAGCTACTAGATGCTGTCACAGTTGATGGAAACTCATTACAATTAGTTTCTGTGTTGATTGCTATCAATTCAAAATGTCACTGTTAAATTCAGTTACATTTGATCGTGCTTTTATTGACAAACTGACTAAACGAAAGCAAGTTATGTTTTTTCATGAAAGCCGTTCGTATTTTATCCATGGTCTGTTATAAGTTGATCTATGACAGCCAAGTACACTTGATAAGTTCACAGTTGCCCTACGTCTATGACCTCTAACTGTATCATGTAAGCTATTTGTGATGGCCGCCAAGCATTTCGGTACATTTAAGTAAACGACCAACGAAGTAAGGATATAAGCATCTAAGGAAAATCCATGTGTCTGCATCCTCTTACTTGTGTTAATGATGATTGTCTTCCATTTTTATTCAAACGTACGTTATTTTGTAGAGGTTCATGAAAATGTAAATACAGGAGGCGGCATTTTCAAGTGTGCTACGTACGTAGCACAATCGTCTACTCAACGGATCACAAACCATCCACGAACTAGTACACGGATGGTTGTGAGTCATGTTGTAAGATTTTATAACGTATTGTTGACCCTCCAATCTTACGCGAAACATCGATTGGCAATTTAAAAATTTAGACCTTATAGGTAACACATTAGTTAGAGTCCTCACGGTTTTTTAATCACATTCAGACCTTCTGATTTACGTTTACGACCAAACGTGCAACGAAACACTACGAACAAGTATTTATATCTCACATCCTTCAACAATCTACTTTCTGCGTGAACATAGTGTGTATGGGTCATCTGAGAAAACATAGATTTATCCCATCATACTTTGTGGAAATCCTTTAGCGCATTATCTAATTCAATCCAGCTTCCGAATCTCTTATTCAGCATAATACGTTGGAACGCGTCGCTTACGTTCACTGAAATTTCACTTGAGCATGAAGCACTAGAGACAACATACAAAAGCTATTAAAAAAAGGTTATTCCTTGAAAAAAATTAACTGAAGGAAGAACAACAAATATTTAGGACTTACCCTTCAGTTGACATTTCGTCTTAACTCACAAAAACTATGGGCATCTATAACCTTTTACGTTATTTTATCTTTCTTACGTTGTTTTCTGGACCTCATCAACAAATTATATATAGCTGTTGACTTTCACTACAGCACTTAGGACCACAGATCAAGTTTCGAAGGAACAACAGAGCTAAAGTGTGCACTACAAAACAGAAAATACTCAGTTAATGCTCTTAGCAGTTATTTAGTGTTTATTATGCATCAAAAGATGACTTATATATGGAAACATTTAATACTCATAGGACCCAACACACACACGGCAATTGAAATACGGAATGCCCGCTTCCAGTCAGCGCGTTCAAGGTCGTTGAAACGAAACGGCGGACAGATTTGAAAGGGATTACCGTTTATACCTTGCCCGTATAGTGGGTGATTTTATCCGCAACGCAACCATGTAAGTCTAATGTATCGCCCAATGTAATGACGGTCATTTTTGCGTTCAAGTAATCATAGAATTTGTCATTTCATATTGTACCTACCTCATCAATACTCATATAGTAGTTCATCGATACCTGACGTATCATCACCACCAACCTCATAGTGTTGTGTCCGCATACACATGCACTTACAAAGTATGTCTGTCAGTGTTATCCACGTGCATTCGTGGCTTAAGGTAAAACACTTGAACATACCAATATTACTGGAGGGAAAAGGGTCGGTACATAGATCGGAAGGGATATGGAATGCCCGGAATCTAATTCGGCCTCCATCAGCTATTTGTGTGACGAACCCTGGCCGACCATTGGCGATAACTACATTGTCCGGCCTTGTGGTTGATAGCTTTAAGTTCCTGTAACTGACGATTTTCTTGGAAGAATCATGAGTTACCTCAGGCTCAGTGACATTGTCAGCCATATATTGATCCAATACAATGTGAAAGTAAACTTCTTCGACATATCGCTGTGCGGCTTTTTTGGCAGCAGCAAATCCGCAGTGTACTGAACGCCTAATTTTCTTCATGTATGATTCAAAAGGAAAGGCAGAGAACGACTCTAAACTACCATGTTCTATAACGTTCTCTACAATGTGCTTTAAACTATGCACAGGGTTAAGCCTGTAACTAAACAGATCAGTGTAGTAAGTAGCGCTGCCTGTTTCTAATGAGTGTACTAATTCAAATCAGTCTAATTGAAACTAAGAAAAAACGTGCTTTTTATGCTGTTGCTGACATACATTATAAGATAGCGATAAGTATGTTTGGTGTTTATTTCTAGACTGTACATCTCTCACTGATCATATTTCATGATCACCGTCATTAAAGTTTCCCCAGCAATAACATCGGTAGCAGGATAGCTAAGCGTCTGAGCTTTTATTTCCCCGCAAAACAGCAGTATACAGTTTTAGAAGTTGAGTGTTCTGTGTCAACTGGCTGTGGACAAATGTTAAGAATGTTTTTGACAACTGGGACTTTTAGTTTATCAGACACTAACTCTGCTTGTATGTCTTCCTGTTAAACTAGACGCAGATGCATGGGAATACTTAAATTGAAGCAAAATAATAAAAGCATTGCGATACGGTACTAAGCCCATGTTATGCTTTGCACAAGTAATAGTAGATGACCTGATCTAATATTCATGAACTCAAGGTAAATCACAACTGCACAAATTCTGCTAAAAAACATGCAGTTTGGTTATTTATATATTCCAACGCAACAGGAGTGAGCCTTCACTGATCCTAAAAACTGTTTCGCCCTTAAAACTATGGCTCTATGGAACTGTTAACGAGAGACCCAACTAACAGCAAATTATCAAAAGGATGCTGGATGTCCATTTAGTCTCACAACCACTTCCAGTACTTATTGAGTTACTTCTTTTACCTTTTCGTTTGAAAAAAAACAACAAAAACTGCAGCTTAACATTACCAATGCAACTTTTAAACGGGAACTTGGTTTAAACCTTTGTTTGATATTCGATTCTTGATGTATTTATTTATTTATTATTTATTTGGACACATGAATATTGGTACAAGAGAGAGCCAATATATATGCGCCACACAAAACAATGAAAATTCGAGAGGAATACAAAGAAAGAAAAAAAAAGCTAAGGAGCGCAACAAAAAAAAGAGAACAATAACGAAGACATTGGTGTAATGTAATGTGCTAGTAATCAGGGAATGCAAAGGTACAATCGGAAGAAATCTTTCAGGTAAGGGAGACAGAACCACTTTTTATGAAGAAAGTAAAAGAAGGTTACAGCAGGATCGCCACTGGCTTCTATTCTGAGCCATATCTGATAACGTCTCTAGCCACCGTGCAGCACCATCTCTCAGACCCCAACCAGGGAGTCGTGAAGGACCAACACAAGCCAGTCCTTTGCAGCTTTCTTTCATACCACGACACCATGTCATGCACTGACCACCTCTCCGCTTCTTCCAACCAGTCTTAGAGTCGGCAAATAATGCACGACGTGGAATCCTCTGGGACGACATTCGGAGAACATGTCCAAGCCACCGAAGTCGGTGTTTCAAGATGGTGACACCAATTGAATTATCATCTCTATGCCCGAACACACGATGCCGAACCTCTGCATTACTGACATGGTGTTGCCACTGAATGTCAGCAATCCTTCGGAGACATGATGATCGAACACAGAGAGTCGTCTAACGTCCTCAACTCGGAGAAGCCAGGTTTCACAAGCATAGAGCAAAACTGCTCTCACCGACGCGTTATAGATCCGACCTTTTACGGCCAGACTAACATCACGAAGGCGCCATAGATGGCCCAGATTGGCATAAGCCGCTCTGGCTTTCACTATACGTGCATTGATCTCATCACTCACACCCCCACCAGCACTTATGCAGCTACCTAGATACACGAACTTCTCGACTACGTCTATCTGCTCACCATCCAGGGTGAGTACAGGATTGGAATCCTGCCAGTCTTGTAGGAGTACTTTGCACTTCGAAGGTGCAAAGCACATACCATACCTACGGACACTGATTGCCAACTGATTAAGTGCGAATTGCATGCCTTAGGCATTATCGCACAGTAAGACAATATCGTCCGCATACTCAAGGTCGAGAAGTCTTTCTCCAGGCAACAGATCCACACCACCATTACTTACATTCATCAGAGCTGTTTCCAGAATGTCATCGATGGCAAAGTTGAAGAGGAATGGTGAGATTGGGCAACCCTGCCTAACCCCACTACTCGAATGGAACAATGGAGGAAGGTGGTTGTATGCCCTCACTCTGCCTGAGGTGTTTTTATATAGGGCTTTTAGGATGTTAATAAACTTCTCAGGCACACCCTTCTTCAATAGACAATCCCAGAGAACAGTCCTGTCCAACGAATCGAAGGCAGCCCTGATGTCAAGAAACACTACGATTGTTGGCCTTTGATAAGTATGGCGGTGTTCTAACATTTGGCAGAGGGTGAAGATATGATCAATACATCCTCGACCAGAACGAAACCCAGCCTGCTCCTCACGAGTCAATCTTTCTCGGGTTTTGAACAACCTACGAAGTATGACGGAAGTCAATAGCTTGGACTCAATCGGAAATAGACTTATCCCTCGATAGTTGTTACAGGAACGACGTGAACCCTTTTTAAAGATAGGGACAACAATCGACTCATTCCATGACGTTGGCACACTCTCTAGTTCCCAAACCTTTGTAAACAACGTCGTCAATTCCTTAGTCAAAAAGTCACCACCATCTTTAAAAAGAGCCGGAGGTAAGTCATCTGGGCCAGGTGATTTGTAACGCTTCAAGAGTTGGAGTTTCTTGCGGACTTCCTCCTCGTTTGGTGGATCAGTCGTCACCGGCCATGGAGGGCAGGACAGTCTGACCGATGTTGCCGGAGCAGCAGGCCAGTTGAACTGCCCTTCGAAAAATTCTGCCCACCGTCCAAGACGTCGGTGGATGTTAGTGATTGGCATCCCATCATCCTCGCAGATTGTTTCACTCACACCAGACTTCTTCCTGCCAGTGGCTCGGATGAGCTGGAAGAGCTTCCGGTAGTTACCAGATGCAGCTGCTGCTTCCAGCTCATTAGCACGCATCGACCACCAGGCTTCTCGGTCCTTACGCAAGCTTTGCCCAATTTCCTTACATAACATCCTTCGTTTATGGTCAAACTCACGGTCACCCGGAGTAGACCGACGGGCTTCAATGAGTTGTAAGGAGCCTGAAGAAACCCAGTGCTTATAAGCGGGACGTTTCGCAAACCCACAACTGACCGTACCCGCCATTTTCATGGCGTCATGCAATTGCAACCAATGCTCATCTATACTTTTCGGTGGAGTGGTAGCTAGCCTAGAGGCTAGCTCGGTTCGATACTTACTTGCAACAGAAGTTGCAACCAGCTTGCTAACATCAATCTTTCGGTGGTGGTCACTTCGTTGGCCACTGAAAAGTAAGGCAAGATTGGCGCAGACCAAGGCATGGTCAGAGTCCAGATAGGTACTCCAAAAGGAATGGCAGTCTTTTACACAACCACGCCAGCGGTAGCTGATCGCGATGTGATCAATCTGAGTCCAGGCTTGGGATGCAGAGGGAGAACGCCAGGTGGCACATCGGCGATGTGCCACGATTCTTGATGAAAGTTCTTGAATAAATTTTCAAATCTAATGCTACTTTGTTTTATCTAATTAGTCGTTGCAAGAAACTTGTGATACACGAGCTTCTCAGCACCTAGTTCATGTGTAGTAAATTTAAGTGATTTGGTACATATATTCGTCATTTTCTTGGGAAACCTACAGACTCGGGTCCTCTCACAACTTATTCTAGCCACCATGAGTTGTCACGGCAGCTGATGGATGGACACGCGTTACACATCCTAACCGTCCCTGCGTCTAATCTCATATCTTCTTATTCAAATGCTATATGATAAGCTAGTAATAGTAATAATAAAATACCTACACTAATGGAACACTACTAACTCAAAGGCACCCTGTATGGTACCTTACATTAGTCTACGCACTCGCTTAGCTCTTTAGTGAGAATATTACTACAATCCTGCTAAAAATCCCATAAACCCCCCTATCTCCATCAAAACAAATAAGTCTGTATTTGCTGCATATAGGGATTTTATTTTTCATAAGATATAACAGTTAGAATTGGAGCAAAATGACAGTATACAGCAGATGCACGTGGTACATGTCTTCATCGATTAACTGAAATAGAGAATACGGATATTAGCTTAACAGGCTTATTTAGAAAGACTAGTGTCTACTTTGAACTTACTGCGTGAGAAAGTTATGCTGGAACTACGAATAATGTAGGAATCTAGTCCTCCAGGGCGTACGAAGCGCTCAAACTGGAAGACGGTTGTCCAAAAATAATTCGAATATGAAGGTGAAAATTTGCAGGTACTTTTCATCGTAAAGGTGAACATATTAGGTACCGGTTGACATTATACCGTAAAAAGACAAATTTGTGAGTGGTGAAGTATGATCTATAAAAAAGTGAGCTTAACAGTTATTTACCGTTTTACTCCCTGATCATGACCCTTTGGCTTCATTTTATGGCCAAAACAGCAAACATACACACACTTGCTTTAACGCACTACGTAATGAGTAAAACCCCTTTATTACTGCTACATGACATATTTTATATAGCAAACCCTCTGCAATAGATTGGTAGCATCTGTGACTTCATCTATGGTTGTCAGAAGTCTGATTCCTTTCGAAAACTACTAAATATTCCCTACTGCTGGGCACTCAGTATTAGTTTGACTCGTTGATGGGATACTGTTGTTCATAATACTGAAGAAAATTAAAAACCGGAGATTGTTTCCTTTCATTTTGCCGATAACATCATAAAGGACAGTTAGAAACGAACATGCGGACAGTTAGTCACAGGCGGCAGCAACAATTATTTTAGCTGAAAAAACGAACTTCGGCTTTGGATATCTAGAAAACAAGTCAAAACAGAGACACATCCATCGTAAAAATACCTGGGGTGGAGTTTATTTCAATTATAACAACTTCTGTCGTATGAGTTATAAAAAGGGTGTTGTACGAAACATTTTTGACCGCGCACGCAAAATCTGCTCAAAGGAGTGCCTTGAAGAAGAAATTGCTACAATTGCCTACGTGAAAATGCATATCCGGAGAAATTCGTCCACAAATATGCTAATACCAACCCTCCGATTAAGCATGTTACAGTGGAAAAGAAAACCTGTTTCCTATACTTGCGCTTCAAAGGAGATGAAGTCACCGGAATTATCAATCACGTAATAAATTCCGCTTTGAAAGTAGCCTACACGGCAGCCAAACTGACGACGTTATGGGAAACGAACTGCTCACTGAAACAGACTAAAATCGACAAGTTCTCTTTCCTCAGTAGCTCCAACTGCACTTACCAATTCACATGTACGTGCCATAGCACATATATTGGAAGAACTGAGAGAAGAGTACATATTCGCATTTCTGAGCATGTTCCGAAGAACTTGAGGCTGCGAGGGACTAAGGCTTTCAACAGTGCAATAGCTCGGCATCTACTTGACACTGGGCATACCGTCGACATTCTGCATGCTTTTAAAATTATCAATAGACAAAGAAGTACGACCACTCTCCGTTTTGCTGAAGCCATTGCGATCAAAAAACTTAAATCGGACTTATGCATTCAAAGATACTTTAATAAACTTATCATTACCGTGGTAATCCTTTTTTGTGTTTTGGCTATTTGGGTTATTTTATTCATTCATTTGTTTTACAATATTTATACTCCTCCCCTATTACCTAATTCTTAAACCAAAATTTTATTCACATAATTCCACCACCTGGTGGAAATCGCTAAAATTATCACACAATTTATGAACTTCACTAAACTATTACACCACCCACCCTAAATTAATTCCCTTTTTTAACCTCTGACCTATTCTAGCATATATATATAGTTATTATTGTAATCCAGTTATTTACACTCATTTATGTCAATTGTTTCACACTATCTCAATGTAAAAATTCTATCACATTTTTGGTTGTAAGCAGCTGACGAGAAACCTCGAGATATTATGAATTTATACTATTCTGCATCAATGTTTGTTCTTGCCCTGTTCAAAACAAAACCGATTACCATTTTAAAACATAAGACTAGCCAGCTGGACTGAAAAAATACATTGACTTCAGTAGCAGCAGCAAAAACCCAGAAAACAAAGCAAAATCAGGAAAAATTTTGCTCCAACATTTAGAGTATTACATTAACTTCTGCATTTTAGCACACTGAAACACTAAATTCTGTAGCTACACAAAACAAATAACGGAAAAAGCACAGAACGAAGAAATCCTGCCACCATTGCATACCAAGATGGTGGACATAATAATTGTCGCTAAGCCGACTGTTACGTTTACGAAATTGAGTTGCGTTTAATAGCAGGCTGTATATTTGTCTACAAATTCCCACCAAATACACGATGTAAGGAGGAAAAATCGTCACTTCCTCTTTATTTACGCCTTTGTTCGCTTTATTCCCCTTTTATTGGTTGCTTGGGTAGTACACGAATAACCGGTTGTGTTGTTTCACGCAAACAAGCAATTATGCTTAAGAATACTAAAATAACTTCATTTCAGCCGGATAATGTGATATTAGTACATGGAAAACCTGGTCTAGTCAATTATTTAGTTACTGTTCCTATTGCTACTTACAGTTATGTGAATGTCTTTTGTTTAATTTGCGCTGAGGTATGACCATTAACCATTTCCTTACCTCTTTAGAGGTAACAATACGTCATAGTAGACACTAAGAAAGAAACAGCTTATGATTGTGCTTAAATTTCAGGATTCACAAGATTTTTGTGATTCTCAATAGTCGTACAAGCGTTACGAAAAGGCATAACCAGTGGAATATTTTTCATGTTTGACTTCGTTTTCACTAAACATTAATAATACATAACCTGTCCTTTCTTTTGTAGATCTTTTCAACTTACAATATGACTTGGCAATTACAATGCATAACGATCGGTGCCCTGGCATCTGTCAACTACTTATACAATATAACGTTTTTTTTCTTTTCAATAAATTTCTTTGAACACGTACCACTTTTAACGTCGATTGCACTTGTCGTGTGGTGTTATATAAATAATGGCGAACACAGACGTTTGGGGTTAGACCAAATGTGTGTCAAAAGTTGAAGCAAAATTAGATAAATCGGTGTGTATTAAAGCGAAAAGTAGACAGTTCGGCATGTATTTATGTGAGTAGACTATTTACCATGTATTTAGGCGAAAAGTAGACAACTCAGCGACTTTGAAAACAGAGCGACATGAAAGGGAGAATCCTTTATTTCGCCTTTTTTGGTCGCCTTGGCATTACGAACTAACCCAAGCTATTATGCCGAAATCCTATTTAGTCATAGGGATAAATGAATTTCGCGCCGAAATCCAAGACTTGCTATCACTAATGCCTAAATAATAAACAATGTCATTCATCTGAATGGGAAGCAATAGTAAAGAGACTAAATAGCTGACATATTTTCCCCACGACATATGGAATTTCCTGGTAAATGTTTATGTGAATTTATGCCAATCGTAATATTGTTACTAGTTAGTAAGATCATATTGTTTCCTTCTGGTCATTGTCATCCGTACTAGGAATGTGTGTTAAACTTTATTTTCAAATATCGTGTTTATCGATAACCATCTGAGTCATCTCTACGTTTACCTTCACATGTACATTCATCCTTAGTATTAACGAATTTTCCTTACTTAGAACACTTCATCATTTCTACATGATTAGTTAATGATGTACTAATTACTTCAATGCCAACAGTTGTGTGGGTTCTTAATATTTTAGTATAACTTGTCAGTCAAACATTTATTTTATGCATTCTATGCAGTTTTCCTACCGAACATTATTTATAGTGTAAAATGAATAAATCTACCAGATTAATTACCTAATAGGACCTGGATCGATAATAAACACGTTAGCTCTGGAAAGACCACTTAAAGCAAGTTAGATATCAGTAATCTTCAGAACGGCATTTGTCATTTGAAGGATGATAGCGTTTAGATGTGTATTGTTATTCCTTACCTTGGACTATTCCCCATAAGGAAAGTAGCTTTAAATCCCTATTGTTTTGCTAGCTCCGTGCTACAATTTTTTATGACATTTATTTGTAGATGTCCGTTTCAAAGGGCGAACATAGTCCGTTCTTCCCTCAATGGGTCAATCGGAAATTATATACGCTCATGTTAGTCATATATACACCCAGAGAATTGAACACAAATTCTCCATTGGTCATTGACGATTCGGGATCTGAAGTAAGCGATCCAGATGTTTTACGATTCTACTCTTGTCTTTACTTTTAGTATTGTTGACCTGCTTTTCAACATGTTTCGCCTTATGATTTGAAGTGGCTCAAATTTTACTCCCTATATGATAAAATGTACGAGTTCGTTCATTCCACTTATATGGTTGGAGTTATCCTCGGTGTACTGTCATTAGCTGTGCGTGGACCCCTAAGTATACAGTTCTTGTCGTATTAATCAAAATTAAGAACATCCCGTACATTCCTGCACATTTAAAACATTTTAGCCTTATCGTTCAGATACAATATTTCTTTGCTTTATTCGTCTTTCCTTCAATTTTTGTTTAGAAATACAATTAGTTCATCGCTCCTAATTTTCGCTTTGAATATGTCGTTTGGAGAGTTGGTTGTTGTATTTAAGTCTCGCTTGGAAGACGATTATTATTTAAATGTTTGTCTGGCAAGTCGATAGGCCGTACCTTATGGATCGTCTTAATGATAATCATTGCTAAATGTGTCCTAATAAAATTTGAGTACTACTATGCATTGCAACTTGTACATTTCGAAGCTGTTTATGATTCTTGTTTTCGTTGAAAAGTGATTTCGTAGTCAGTGGGATAAAACTACAGTTGTCTCACAGATTAATCAATTCTCACCTCCAAATACATGTTTACGTATGGCCTGATTAATGATTGACAGTGATCATATCTGAGCATTTGTGAGCACTTTGTTTCTAAAGTTTAAACTGATTAGCAAGTGTACTAAACAAATTATCCGTTCTGTTAATTTTTATTTAACGGCCGACGATGGTCATCTACGAGAAATAAATTGGGTATTGAGAACTCAGGTATTATTTATCATTTTAATCTAACTTATTGCCAGCTTCTTCAAGTACAGTTTTTGCGTAACATAAATTATATATTTCTCTACAAATAGACAAAATATATATAGACAAGGCCTATTGATATTATTCATCTTCACGCTGCCAAATCAATGTTTTGATGACTTTGATTGCATTTTGTTATTGTTCACATATCTGACTGTTTCACTTGATAGTTTAATTAAATTTGGATTATAATTGACTAACCATTACATTTCTGGTTGAGAGGTTGACTCTCCATCAACGTACCTTTTTGTAATGGATGAATCTGAATTTTTGTAATTTTACAACATCGTTATTATTATGACTTTAAGTCCAGCTTTTGTCACGTGATTTATCCACCAATCAAAACACGACTTATACAATCTTCGCATTGTGTCAAACCAATGACGCTCGATCGGTATGAGCAGTCTAGCATCCTTATTAGTCCTATGTCCGTCTAGCCCGTCCACTTGAGTCCGGAACACTACCAGCTTCTGCAATATGAATCATGTATTTCAGACATACTCGGTTTATATATCAACCAGACAGACCACAACGTACCATAAAATAGAAAATAACATTTGTACAATATTTGGCCATGTGTGGCTGTGAACGTGGGAGGCAATAGTCAATAAACTGAACATAGCTTAAGAACCGTAATTCATACAATAATAAATTATAGGTCAGAATAAAGCTTATAATAAGAGGAATATAAATATACATAATCTAATTATTGAATAGGTACACCATAAGAATATATAGATAATATTAGTCAATTAATATGTCTCAGGAGTTACTCGTGATTTAATCTTCACTCCGATATAACAGGATTCTAATCCTGTACTCACCCTGGATGGTGAGCAGATAGAAGTAGTCGAGAAGTTCGTGTATCTAGGTAGCTACATAAGTGCTGGTATTGGCATGAGTGATGAGATCAATGCACGTATAGTGAAAGCTAGAGCGGCTTATGTCGATCTAGGCCATTTTTGGTGCCTTCTTGATGTCAGTCTGGCTGTGAAAGATCGGATCTATAACGCGTCAGTGAGAACAGTTCTGCTCTATGCTTGTGGAGCCTGGCCTCTCCGAGTTGAGGATGTTAGACGACTCTCTGTGTTTGATCATCATGTCTCCGAAGGATTGCTGACATCCAGTGGCAACACCATGTTATTAATGCAGAGGTTTGGCATCGTGTGTTCGGGCACAGAGACGATAATCCAATTGGTGTCACCATCTTGAAACATTGACTTCGGTGGCTTGGACATGTTCTACGAATGCCGTCCTAGAAAATCCATGTTATGCATTATTTGCCGATGCTGGGACTGGTTGAAAAAAGCGGAGAGGTGGTCAGTGTATGACATGGTGTTGTGGTATAAAAGAAAGCTGCAGAGGGCTGGTTTCTGTTGGTTCTTCATGACTCTCTGGTTGGGGTCCGAGAGATGGTGCAACACAGTGGCTTGAAGTGGTATCAGATATGGCTCCGAATAGAAACCAGTGGCGATCCTTCTGTAACTTTCTTTTACTTTCTTCATGAAAAGTGGTTGTATATTCCTTAACTGAAAGATTTCTTCTGGTTGTACCTTTCCATTCATCCCATTATTATTATTATTATTATTATTATTATTATTATTATTATTATTATTATTATTATTATTACACTACCTTACACTAATCTGGTCGTTATTGTTCTTTTTTTTCTTTTACGCTCATTATTTTGTGTGGCGCATATATATTTGGTGCCCTCGTGTACCAATATTTATGTGTTCAAGTAAATAAAATAAATATATTGCGTTGCTAAACTTTAAAACGATCTTCGTGGATGGGTAGACAGGAAATTTTCGATGTTTTCAACAATGTTTCTCGCAGTATATGCATTTCTTTTTTTAGTGGGTGTGAAATTTTCCTTCCTTCGATGTTGCATTCTCTTATCAGCATTAAACAAACTACTATTGGTTAAATATTTGATACTATGTACACATAACACGGCACAAATGGAAAAGCTTCTAAATGCCCTCTACGGCCGATAGTTGAGAGAGTCAGCTCTTCCTCTCGAAATGCTCTCACATGGCCACGTGCATACAACCACTGCCAGGGAAGTCCTACTCACTGCTGTTGCGCGGCACGGGTGTTGTTTACGAAATTGAGAGGACAAACAGTGAGTTTCCGAAGCTTTAACCGGATTGGTAGATATGTTGGATCCACCTAGGTCAGTTGGAAAACCCTAATTCCAAACTAATGATGCACATGAGCTTCAGGATCCTGTGGGAACAAATGGGGTATTAACTAATTGTTGGTCACCGGCTACCGTGGGTCTGCATCTCCTTATGTTGCTTCACTGTCTTGCGGATCAAACTTTTAGGTTCGATTCTCCGACTGTGGCCCCTTGAGAGAACCACCTGTTTCGGTCTGGGCACCCAGGCAGTATCACAGCCCACACAAAAATCAAGTGACCTGTGTGACGTATATGTATTCGTTGCCACTTTGTACCAATATTTATGTGTTTAAATAAATATATAAATATAATAACAGATGGGAAAAGAATATTCTTATCGGTTTCTACAATTATTGATATGAATCACTGATTGCAATAACAACCAGGTGCGCAACTAACATATTATTGTGCATGGGGGGGTTACAATTTAGCATTTTATTTTGCGAGTTAATTAATATTCTCATAACCTACTGTGTAGTAATGCGAATGGACTATAACCTGCATAACATTCAAGTCATCGTAATATTAATAATCCTTGTTGTGCTTAAAAATAACACAATCTTTATCTATGAAGTGTATATAAACTGGTTAATGTCGTGGAGTGTATCACACTAGCCTCTATTTAAATCAACTTGTAATTATTCCAAGTGAATTTCGGTCATGCACACCGTACATTATTCATTATTCCGTCCATCCAGTGTTAATATAAACCATATGATCTCACACAAGTTGAGCGAAAAAGTATTTACCTTCAATCAGTTCCTCGTTGGTTCTGGAACAATTTATGTTTTACAATTTAGAATGAAATCAATGCCAAACAAATTATGGTGGACCAACCTGACTATGTATTGCAATATTTTCTTTAAATATGACGATCGATTAAGTTAACGGATATAAAATAAAAAACAAAGCAAAATTACATAGTCTAGTTAAGTAAGAATAAAAATGTTAATTGAGCAAGTTTAAAATTGAGTAATGGATCTCTATCAAAACCCGTAGACAAAATTCAGCAAAGGAACAACAAGAGGATGGCAGTTAACAACAGCGAAAGTCACAGTACAGGCTGAATAAACAAAAGCAAATGAAGAAGAGCATTAAAGCCGACAAGCAGAAATACGCGGAAGACCTGGCAATGACAGCGGAAAACGCAAGAGAAGGAAACATAGAACAAATATATGACACAACAAAGAAACTGGCAGGGTATTATAGTAAACCAGAGACCGCTCAAGGAGAAAGAAGGTAAGCCAATCACTGAGATACATGAACAGATGAAAAGATGGGCAGAAAACTTTGAGAAACTCATGAATAGCCGGCTCCATTAAATCCACCGGACATCGATATATATATATATATACTACCTACTCTTTTTTAGTAGTAAATCGGTGAATAGAAAAATTGTGGGGTTTATTTTCTACGAATCTGTTTTAAAACATATCTTAAGAAATTACGAATTGTAGTTCACCGTGAGTTGTTATTATCATGTCATCTTACTTATTTGCTTACGCCTGTCGCCCCTCGTGGAGGAGCATAGACCGCTCACCATAATTCTCCATCCAACTCTGTCGTGGGCAATACTATCCATTCTTTTAATGTCTGTCTCCAGTTCGTGTCTCAATATGTTCGTTGGCCTTTCTCTTTCCCGTTTCACTTCATGATTCCATGTTAGCGCTTGCCCCATGATATAGTTTGGTTATTTCCACAACATATGTCCTATCCACTTCCAGCTTCTTTTCATAATTGTGTTGGGATAAGATGGTGGTTGGTGGTGGTCACCGGAAACTCTGGATCTGGGTTTCTTACTATTTGGCACTCGTCAGCAAGGTATACCTGTAATCTTGAGGGAACTGGTGCTCCCTGACGAATTCCATCCCGTGCGATCCAGCTTCACATTCAAAGATGTTACTACTGGGCTATCTCGGCTGCGACTGACCTCCTGCAGGACTGAGATGTATTCACAATTGATTGATCATTGGGTGGTGATCAATGTCATTTGTACCAGGTCCTTCTTAGTGCAGATCGAATGCTATTGACCAAGTTGCAATGTGGCCACTAGTCTAGGTGACTCTACATTGCGTGCACTATGTTAAGATAAGATAGTGTCTATCATGTAAATTTGTTATGAATAGTATAACACAAATTTTCGAATGTGTAATAAACATTTAGATAATTTGTCTCGTTGTTTCTCCATGACAGTCTTATGATTCTACTTGTTCAGTTATTGTTTTCTTGACGTTTGTAAGTGATTGAAATATTTGTGAATTATTAAGAGTCTCCTGAAAATTGTCATGTATTAAAGTTGTATAAATGTTAACCAAGTCACTTTTTAAACTTAATTAAATTCAATGTGTGAACTTGACCTTCAGAGAGTACTATTACCAGTGTTGTATTCACCTTCTTACTTACCTAGTTACTTTCACCTGTTAACCCTCGTGGAGGAGTATGGGCCGCCCTTCATTATTCTCCATCCAACTATGTTGTGGGCAATACTTTCCGGATGTTTCCAGTTGCTATCCATTCTCTTAATGTCTGCCCCCAGTTGGTGTCTCACTGTGTTCTTTGGTCTTTCTCTTTCCCGTTTTCCTTCAGGATTCCACGTTAGAGATTGCCTCATGATGTAGTTTGGTTATTTCCACAATATATGTCTTATCCACTTGCAGCGTCTTTTCTTAATTTCATCTTGGTCTGGATGCTGGTTTGTTCTCTCCCACTGTAGGCTGTTGCTGGTGGTATCCGGCCGACGGACATTGAGTATGTTACGTGGACAACTGTTTCGAAATACTTGTACCTTCTTGATGATGGTTGTGGTAGTTCTTCAAGTTTCAGGTCCTTATAGTAGAACTGTGTTGACGTTCGCATTGGAGATTCTGACTTGGTTTGAGTTTGTTTTGAGTTGCATATGTTCTTCAATTTTAGGAATGCTGCCCTTGCTTCGCCAATCCTCGCCTTCATGTCAGCATTCGATCCTCCTTGTTCATCGATGAAGCTGCTCATGTAGGTGAAAGTTTTCACATCTTCCAGAGCTTCTCGATCAAGTGTGATTGGATTAGTGATCTCTGTTGTGTTTGAGGATCTTGCTTTTTCCCTTGTGAATGTTGAGGCGTACTGATGCAGAGGCTGCTACTACACTGATTGTTTTGACCTGCATTTGTTATTGTGTATGGGATGGAAGGTCTAGGTCATCTACGAAGTCCAAACCGTCTAGTTGCATCCAAGCTGTACATTGTATTCCGTGCTTCCCTCAGATTTGGAGGTCTTCAAAATCCAGTCAACCACTGGATGAAAAAGAAAAGGGTAGAGTAGGTAGCCTTGTCTGACTCCAGTCCTTACTTGAAATGCGTCTCTTAGCTGTCCTCCGTGCACCGCTTTGCAATGTAGTCCGTCGTATGAATTCCGTATGTTTTTGACGATTTTCTCAGGTACACTATGGTGTCAAAAACGTTTTTCCTATCCACACTGTCGAATGCTTTCTCAATTTCTAGGAAGTTGATGTATAGTGATAAGTTCCATTCAATTGATTGTTCAGTGATGATGCGTACTGTCGCGATTTGATCTGTACACGGCCGGTCCTAATAGAATCCGGCCTGTTGATCTGGAAGCTGGGCGTCTACTGAATCTTTCATCCGGTTCAACAACACGTACATTTTCCTGGTATTGATAGTAGTGTGATGCCTCTGTAGTTTTCACACTTGCTCAGATCTCCTTTCTTTGGTATCTTAATGAGATATCCTTCTCTCCAGTCTGTTGGCACTTGTTCTTTCTCCCAAATCTTCCTGAATAGAATGTGGAGCACGTTTGAAATTACTTTTATTTTTGATTTCAGTGCTTCAGATGTCATGTTATCAGATCCTGCTGCTTTCCCACTCTTGATTTGTCTGATGGCCATGCTGATTTTTTCGATCGTTGGTGGAGTGACAGCTATAGGAAGGTCTGTAGGTGTTGCTTCGATATCCGGTGGATTTAATGGAGCTGGCTATTCACGAGTTCCTCAACGTGCTCTACTCATCCGTTTACTTTGGTACATCTGCTTAAAATATCCACTTATATAAACTATTGGCTTGATGAGTGACGTCGTCATTCTTGAGTTCGTTGGGGTATTAAAATGTTAAAATTGGTTAATGAATATCAGAAAAAATAAGGATTGTTTAAACAAGTGAATTCCAAGCACTTGATTAGTATAAAGGTAGGTTTATATTAAGAACTGAAAGCAGTGATGGCGTTTTTTCCTTGTAGTTCGACATTACATGATATACGCAATCCTATCTATTTATCAATTAATAACGCGATACTTAGGTTCTACGGCGAGCCTGGTATTAACAAGTCGGAAGTTAATCATGTAAATTTTCACTTTGTTTCAATCTCTGGTTTAGCATACCCATCATCCTACAATGTTGATGGATATCCATCCCGAAACCTCTGGATCGGTTGAGTTTAAAATTAATACTTCTCCCTGAAACATTGCAGTATCTATTTCGAAACAAACCATAAATAATCTCAGCATTATTAGTTTAACCAAGTTACTTAATAGTTCGTTGATATTCCCCTATACTTTCTAGCTTTATTTTGAATAATACTTAATTTTTGTTATTTCATGTTTTATTCTGTTTACTGTGTTTTATCTATCGGATGATGTGTATAAGAACAACTATAACATATATGCCAATAATAATAAATATGAAGCTGACATATAAAGGCAGTTAATCTATTTTTTCCAATTATTTACTAATCGGTTATTTCAGTTATCCGACTTAAAAATCCTTTTTTACTGATTGGGAAAAGAAACTGTCATTTTCATTAAAATTTCATGTTAGATTCTCTTGTTTTTGTGCATATATGTTTCAAATACAGAATGTTATTTTCCTTTCTCTGATGAATTTTCCGTATAAACAGGCGAAAAACTGTTTGAAATTGTTTTTTTTTTCTGGGTTATTCTGCTGTCCTCAATGCATTTATTACTTTCATTTCGGATAATGTTATGGTATTTGATGCGGAATATTTTTTTCGACCATTCTGTACCAACTTAAATGAAATAATAAATATGAAGGAAATATTTTGATAGATATGTCACATTTGTGAATAATTGAATTAGTTCACAGACTCCACATCAATGAAATACCAAACTATTTTATTTTGTCTCCTCTTTAAACCTTTTTTTAAATCTTTGATGCATTTAATTCCTAGCTGAAAAGAACCTTTCTTCAAACTGTCAAGTAAATTACTACTCAATTGTTATCATTCTCCTTTATGAATAATAAATGTCCCACAATGCCTTTTTTTACTATGGTTTTAACAATAAATATTGAATTATATAGCATTGGTTTTGCGTTGTCAGATTTGATTGGGCTATCATCATAGGTAAGCCTAGATCAGAAGTTGTTAAACTACTGTCTGCAGACCGCTTGTGACCTCCAAGACCAATTGGAAGCATATGTGAAAGCAGCCGGATGTGAGATAATTTGATATTATTCTAGTTAAACATTGGGCTTGGTATTAAAACCGTTGGGGTATCTTTCATCGTATGCGTGGGATGGCGGTTTACGTTAATTCTCACTCGTTAAGTATTATTCTTTCTAGTAATTGTTTTGTGACGATGTGAAGGTTTCAAAGCATTTGGACAACAGTCTAATGTGATAAATGCTGCAGTTTTATTGTAACTAGGGGGAGCTAATCATTATCTTCAAATGGAATTGATAAAGTTGAGAGCAAGCAGAGACCTCAATTGATTGTTCAAACAAATAACATTGACTGAATTCTATTCATCTTGTAAGCAAGATAAATTTCGCAACCTAATTAATTGTACATGTAGTGTTCGCTTTATGGACCAAATTGCACTTGCAAATAGGCGTTTTGGTTTATGAACTGAGATAAGTGAACTCTTGGATACAAGTCGACAGTCAGTGTTAGGCGCGACAAAAAACAAAGTGCTTATTGACTACAACTCGTTAGTGGAAAACTGTACACTTACATATTTATCTCATTGGTTAGGTGACATCATTAAGACTGATGATTGGGTAATTAATTGTTATTTTGCTTGCTAATTGGTGAATGCCGGTTTCTTAAAAATATTTTCGCATGTTGTATGTGCAACGAATTCGACATGGTATCTGCATTCCTGTAGCCGTTTGACAAGAAAGGTTTTACACCCTTTTTTCTAACCACAAAATTTTTGGGAGAGTATGAAATAAATACTAACTTCAGTTTAAGAAGTCAGTTCTAAACTGTTAAAAGTAGTCTATGTGAAACAAATTATTGGCACTTGCGATTGAATAAATAATTACTAACTAGATGGAGTTACTTCTTGGTCATAATGCATTTGTGTCATTGCAACCAATCCTGAGTCGTGTCATCCAATGTCTTTAAATAATCATATGGACTTCAGTCAGATAGTCTTCACCTACCACTATGGCTCAGAACAACAGTCAGTAACTTTATGGACTGATACCATATCTTGCTTTCGAATTTAAAGATCTTTCTCTGTATAAATTGACTAGAATCAGTTCGGACCCATACTTATTTGATTACATAAGTTTGTAGTAACACCACCGAAATTTCTTTACAGTTTGTTGATTAATGCTTGGTAGTTTGAAACGAAACAATAAGATAGGAGCTTGATAAAGTTTTTCAAAAAAAGTAAACAACGCATTATTTTCATTTTAAAAATTGTCCTTTTAGATTAAAGTACAGGAATCAATCACAGATTGCAATAAATCATGGTTACTTTTGGGTTTAAAACAGAGTGGTTTCGGAAAAGGACGATGGAACGGATTTGGTGGTAAAGTCGAATTTAGTGATGCGAACCCAAAAGCTGCTGCACTTCGAGAACTGAATGAGGAGTCTGGTTTAACACTTGATGAGTCTTCCGTTGACGAAGTTGGTCGTTTATGGTTTACTTTCGCTGAGACACTGGAGGTATGTATGTTATTTTGAAATGTTCTCGTAAATTACATGATTTATTCGTTTATTGATTGAATTAAGCATCATGCATTTGCATTTTTTGATCGAGTTGAGGAGGAAATAGTAACTTCACTGTTGATGATATTGGATGAGGTTTGAAGTACGTTAAAAATCGACTAGCGTGCGAAACGTAAACCACTAAACCCCAGCTCAATTGTTTAAAGTCACTGTATTAGCTGTAAAACTTGAAGGTTCTTCGTCCAATGTCATATAGGCTTCTGGAGACGTATTACTGAGTCGTCTTACATAACGATGGGGGAATTAACGTCAGTTTGATAAGCATTAACTAGTTTATTACTTCTGGTGGCTAAACAACGGTTGACACCATTGCTTTATTGTTTAGACAGAAATATACTTACTAAATTAATAAACATTAGCAAGAATATCAAGGTATTTAATTAAATCACATTTATTACTGAGGATAATATTCGCAGATAGCTTTTGCTCATATCTTATCGATAGTTAATACATTGTTATCTGCTAAATTTGAATCGGTATATCATACTATATGGGTTTACGATACAAATATCCTCAAATCAACGTAATATAATTCTTGCACGGCTTGGTAGAAATAAAAGATAACGATTATACAGTAATCACGAATGAGGACTATTCATGATAGGAAATTACATATATCACCATAAATTACAAACAACACAGTATTTGTGAAATGTCAATTAGTGACAAAAACGAAGTGTAAAAATCTATCCATCTGGCGTTGTATTTTATGCGTAAAGGACCAATACATTTTTGATTTTATTAATAGTTTATCAAGCCTTTGACTTTAACATTCTTAAACATTGAAAGAACGGTACAACAGATCTAACATAATACCTTCGAAAACTTGAATATTCTACATATATTCGTAATATCGGATTTCGTCCACATTAACTGAAAATATCAGCCAAAGTGACAGATCGTCAACTAGGAGTTTCGTGGTGTATTAAGATAAAATTAGTTAGGGATAATCTAAATTAGAGGTTTATAAAAGACCTAGGCGGATCTAAATTATTGTTTACGTTGAAGTCAGCCTTGGTAACGGATTGAAATCAAGTGAGGAACCACTAGAAACCAGAGAACATTGAACATCTGTTTTGTCTTATTACGAGGACGTCACTGCTGTTTTCAACAAAAGTCCTGTTCTTAAAGTTGGTGGAAAATCGTCGCGGTTACTCAATTAAGCCAACAGTATATTTAACAGACCTACAGATAACTTCTTTTTACACCACCTTGTGCGACTAATGCAAAACTTTCAGGATAGAGTGCGAATACCTTTAGATCAAAGACTTAATATTCGAGAACTTCTGGAATAGTCTGCCCGACAAGGTAACTTAACAACTTAAGTACTGAAAGTTTGTGATTACTCACAATTGTTCCTTGAGGTCAGTTTCTTCACTAGCATTTTATAAGATTTCTGCAGTATGTTTCATAAATTTTTTAAAAGTAGTTATAAATTCATGCCTCAGATAAATTGATCTAACACAAATTTTTCAAACTGTTTGGAAATGATTCATGGGAGTTGCATTTGATAATTCTTAAAAACTCCAGGTAAATGGTGAAGACTCTTCATCAACATTTTATTTAAGATGATGAATTTCCTTTCTTAACCAGCTGGGTGTTTCGAATATCTGAATAGCGCTCTTATACAATCAAAACGGCTGTTTACATATTTGCTCGATAGAATTTCAATATATGATTGTACTAATCCTCATGTCCTCCTCTAGAAAAAAGAGAGTCCAGCACGGAAGTATGTCGTTGGTTTGCAAAGTTCATTAGGTGCTGCATGATTATGGTTAACATAAAGAGAATACTTCGCCCGGACGATACAGTTTAGCTAGCTGTTTATCCTTCAATGCATGTATTAGTTTATATAATTTTTGCTCTATGCGATTAGTCTTTCAATTTCGTATGAGACTCATATTTGACAGTTAGATTTCTTATTTCACCTCTAGTTATTGAAATTTTAAGGTGTTTTAAGAGAGGCAAGGAGAAAGAGCAGTGTAACGTGTGTAACAGTAAACTATAGACTATTTTTAGTTTGAGAGTTATTTATCGGTTGGTTCTGTACGTATGGTTGAGAGTTCACTGCCAGTTGAACTTTCATCAAGCATAAAACCGATCCGCATCCCATCGGATCTGTATTCCATTGGATTGACCCTGGAACTGCTAAACCCTATATCTGACCCCTTTGCTTTGTATCTGTCTAGTCCAAAGAAACTCCTAATAATAATATGATTGTACACCGAATTTTGAAAGTTTAATAAAATCACAAAAGATGACTCTTTCTCATTGTCACGTGAGGGTATATTACACGTACTAGCTAATTCAAAATGGTTGTCAACATTCGATTTCGCATTTTGTTGTTCTCAAGTTGAAGTGTTTTAATGTGATCAAATCGTCCAGTAGAATATTTCATTCAAATATACTAATCAACAAATAGGTTTTGTCTTTTCAATTTAAATACAAAATTTCTCGAAATAAAAGATCCAATTAAAAATGATCAACAGATCGTAGAGAAATACAAATAGCTAGCTTCGCTTTTAAGCTTGTCTTCATGACGGTGGTTAGAAAAGCAATGCTACGTTTGACGAAATTACGATATCATCTAAAACCGGCGGACAAAACGAAAGTCAGTAAAACAACAACTGGACAAGCTAAGCAACTCCATTGAGCTCCAGCTCTGACAACTAGAGGGAAAAGATCATATTCAGTCGAGGGGAATATTACAAATGCAGTCAAAAGCATGAACGAACAAGCACTCAACTCATACATACATATACGGTACAGTTCTTGATAAACTTCACAAAATAGCTTACTAAAAGAGCAAAGCAACCAATGACATTTAAGGTGCTTCCGAGTGAGAAATATAAACTGAAGGTGAATGTGGTCATTTGGAGATTTTGGCATGAAAATGAGAAGTTCGAATTTCTATGTTGAAGATGCGATAGTGATACGTTCACGAAGTGATTTCTACGGATCTAGCATCCACATCAAACAAAGAAAACTCTACGGATAAATTATCCACCCTATAGAGAGCGATTTCACGCATGTGGAATGCGAATAGTGCTTGATTTCAACTGAGGCTTACAAACTGTAAGTTGAAATAATGGATTAATAATGAAATAATTTCTTATTTGAACACCAAACAGTAGCTATTAGTATTTCTACTATCCGTCGGTCACTTGAAGTTGAATCTTTAATACTATCATTCACATATTAAATTTGGTCTACCGTTTTTTATCCACATCATCAAACATCCCATTATTTTATTTCTAAAATTGACATTGTAAGCGTAACTAATTCGAGATTTTATTTGCAGTTAAATCTTCATAAATTAATTCTATTTGTTCATATCTAGTGGTCCTTTAAAGTGACTTTCTTGAATTACTTCTCCTCTTATACAAGACTTGTTATTTGGATATGAATTAATATTTCAGGTACTGTACATTGTCCTATTCACTATCAAACTGCGCATCCATTTCTTCCTACAATAATATACAACTGAGCACGATAACCTCCACTTATGTAGCTGGATATTTTTCAAGCTTTTTTGATTTATAGGATCTAGGTTTTTCGTTACGTTATCATATGAACTCTCTGTTCGAATACCTTAATATTATGTTTGATCATGTTTAATACTCCTGGTAGTAGATAGAGACGGGTGTTTTGCATTGTTCTCCTGCTTTGTTTCTTCTCTAATGGTTCGATAAATTTATCTACTCGATTTACGATGAAATATAGACTTAATTATGTCATAGCTTCGGTTTGGGCACCCGGGCAGTATCACAGCCCTCACACATATCGAATGAGATTTGTGTGGCGCATATGTATTTGGTGCCTCCTTGTACCAATATCTGTGTTAAAATAAATAAATAAATAAATAATTATGTCATAACATATTTGTGTTCATTATGAGCATTTAAAAACTATTCATATTGATCAATAGGATTGCATAATCCCATAGAATTGATTTCCGAATTTCATATTGGTGTTTTACTTGTTCATGAGCGAGCCATCCATTCGAAGTTATCCAATTTAGAAAACGAGATTTTCACAATAACCAATCATATCCATTTACTTCTACTGATGAAGTAATCAGTTTATCCACTTTAAATAATAAACAAGTATGTTATATCTTGAAAGTTGATTTCTTGATATAGCGCGTATAACCGAGCACTAGAACACCAAAACCCTTCCAAGTCTCAATAAGAAGGCTTATGAGAGGAATATTATTACAAACAGTGTCAATTATAGTACAAAATTGTCAGGTATTTATAGTTTTTAGTGGTAACGAAATCATCATAACAGTCCTCCAGTCCGTATAAAGGGGGTTATTAGCATTATCCAATCGGGAAGCTACACGTAGGAATTCTAAAATATTCTTCCGAAAGGTGATTGGATGGAACGTCTTCGGCTCCTTCTGAGCCTCTTACAGCTTCCTCGAGTTCACCGGTGGTCCGTCGTCACAAAGTATTTGTTGTACCTATTGATCATACTGGTTACATTTATTTTCTTCAAATTTCTAAAAAAAATATATACTTGTATATTCATAGAGTATATAGTCATTTATTTATTTGTTTATTATTATCATACAATGCTTCACCTTATAAACAAGTGAGTCATATGATTATTTTTTACCGTATATAAATATATTTTCCAATTCAATCAATAATTGGAAAGAATCCGTGTTTTCCACCGGGTTTTTTTCCATTTATCATCGTCATCCACCTTTTGTGTATGTCATTTACTTATATTTGCATTATTATTTTTACTATCTCATTTTCCTTCTTTTTTTTCTTTCCTATTAATACATTATAATTATGATTTATTGTCTGTTTTAATTATATAAATTTTAATTAGTTGTGTTATATTGTAGTCTAAAATGATTGATTCTGTGTATTAATTATGATTTTAGTAAGTGTACTGTTTAATATGTTTAATATTGAAATACAATA